TCCTTTAATTGGAAGATCTTATTTAGAAACCAAGAACTGAATGCTAGGTGTGCTCACTGCTATGTGTTGCTGCTTCTAGACCCCACCTCAAATACCCATACACATAGAGTATTTCTGTTAACTACCTGTGTATATTAAAAACCATAAGTTCATACTGCTAATTCCAATTCTAGTTCCATACCACCCAGGGTTCATTCTAGCCCTCATCCCCCTATCTGTAGTTCTGTTCTGTTAGTGAGAAGCCTGACTCTCATTCACAGTATTTACTCATTCACTCAATCCTAGAACACACATGCAGTTTAGGAATTGCTAGGCCACACACCTGTGAAAAATAATTTTATTAAAATGTTTTGCGTTTTTTTGGATTTACACTTAGGAAGGTATAGTCAAAACATTATTTCCCAAAGATACTTGGGTTACTTTATTTCTTCATCCCCTTCCTCCCTCAGTGTAGTTTCATTATTCATTTGTAATATAGTTAAGAGTCATTTGCCAGGGTTTTTATTCAATTTTGGGTTCCCCTCCCATCCTGGCTCTCTAATTAGTTATTTTTCAAGTATGGCCTCAGAACTCTACAAAAAGATGTACTCAGGGAAGTCTACTTCCTCCTGTTCCTTCTATCTCATTCCCACTCTTTCTCCCCTGCTCCCAATGGCTTCCTATAGGTAAGTAAACCCATTCGTTTCTGGTTTATCCTTCCTGGGTGTACGTGTGTTTTATACAAATGAGCAGATACTTGTATACTTATCTCACCTTCTTTCTTGAATGGCAGGGAGGATACAATAGATATTTACTTGCCCTCTGCTTTTTTTTTACTTAACAGTATATCCTACTTTGCAGAAAAGAATTAACAGAGCAGTGCTGTTATCCTTAGAAAGGCCTGCTTGCAAGGGTGGCCTTGGCTCATCTGGGAACTTAGATTTTGGGAGAGTTTCCAACATTCCTTAATGATAAGAGTGGCTCAGAGCACCCATACAACAATGGGGTTTATGTTGAAACACCTGCTTTCCTTCTGTAAGTCTGGAATTTTGGTTTGTGCCAGGGGAGGATGCCCATGTGACCAGCCTCCAGTAAAAACCCTGGGCTCTAACAAGCTTCCATGGTAGACCACATTTCACATGTGTTGTTACAATTTGTTCCTGGAGGAGGCTGTGTGTATATGACTACACTGGGAGAGGATTCTTGGAAACTAGCGCCTGGTATCTTCTGGACTTTGCGCCATGCTTCCCCTTTGCTGATCGCTTTATATCCTTTTGTTGCAATTAATCTTAGCTACAAATATGACCATGTGCTGAGTCCTGCAAGTTCCAGAGAATCACCAAACCTGAAGGTGGTTTTGGGGAGCCCTGACACACCTGGAAAGCACTCCATATCAGTACATGGAGATCCTCCTCAACTCCTTATCACAGGTGCATGTACTGCATATATGGACATAAAATACACATGCTACAGTTTATTCAACATCTCTCCTCTATGTGGACATTTAAGTTGCTTCAAACATTTTGCAGTAATAAACAATACTGTAAAAAATAACTTTTGGTATATATATTTCTGCAGTTTTGGAGGTGTATATTTAGGGTAGATTCCTAGAAATAAGAGTGCTGGGTCAACAGGTCAGAGCATATACATTCTGGTTAGGTGCAGCCAAATTCCTCTTCTGAAAGGTTGTAATCAGTATGCATTCCCACCAGCAAATATGTGAGAACACTATTCCCTCACAACCTTGCCAACCAGATATGTTTCCACAATTTTTCATCTTCTCTGATAGGTAAAAAGTGGTATTTTGATTGCTTAAATTTGCATTTCTCTAATTATAAGTGAGGTTGACCAACTCTTCATGTGTTTCAGAACACATACATGCATGCACACACACAATGAATCATCTATTCAAGTCTTTCCTTCATTTTTCTATTGGGTTTTCCATTCCTCAATCTACCAAGTTCTTTATACATTAGTAGGGTACCTAGCTGGCTCAGTGAGCAAAGTACAGGACTCTTGATCTTGGGGTTCTAAGTTTGAATCCCACGTGGGTGTAGAGATTAATTAAAAATAAAATCTTGGGGCGCCTGAGTGGCTCAGTCATTTAAGCGTCGACTTTGGCTCAGGTCATGATCATGATCTCAGAGCTTGTGAGTTCGAGCCCCATGTCGGGCTCTGTGCTGACAGCTCAGAGTCTGGAGCCTGCTTCAGATTGTCTCCCTCTCTCTCTGCCCCTCCCCTGCTCGCATGAGCACACGCGCGCTCTCTCTCTCTCTCAAATATAAATAAACATTAAAAAAATTTTTTTTTAATCTTAAGAGGCACCTGGGTGGCTTACTCGGGTATGCATCTGACTTCGGCTCAGGTCATGATCTCGCGGTTTGTGGGTTTGCCCCACACTAGACTGTGTTGGTGGTGCAGAGCCTGCTTGGGACTCTCTACCACCACCCCCGCTCCTTCCCCTTCCCCACTTGTGCTCTCTCTCAAAATAAATAAATGAATTTTAAAAAAAGAATAAAAAAATCTTAAAAAGGAAAAAGGAGTTCTTTATATATTAGATAAGCCCTTTATCTGTGATACATGTTGCAAATATGTTCTCCCAATTCACCAGTTGTGTTCTGTTTGTGGTGTTTTGCCAATCTACCAAGAATTCTTGAGGTCCAAGGATGTCTGGTCTCTGCAAACTTTCTCAAACAGTAGTCTGCTTTCCTGAGAGGTCCACAGCATTCATTCAGACTTTCTTTAAAAAAAAAATTTTTTTTTTAATGTTTATTTTTGTGTGTGAGAGAGAGAGAGAGAGAGAGAGAGCGAGCAGGAGAGGAGCAGAGAGAGAGGGAGACACAGAATCTGAAGCAGGCTCCAGGCTCTAAGCTGTCAGCACAGAGCCCAACATGGCGCTCAAACCCACAAACCGCAAGATCATGACCTGAGCCGAAGTTGGATGCTTAACCAACTGGGCCACCCAGGCGCCCCAACAGTTCTCCAAATTCTTGAAGGCTTCTCTTGATTCTTTTTTCATAGGACATACCCAAGCAACTGGCTTCCAATGTTGTATTTTCAGGTTTTGTCATTAGTGTGAATTCTTGATCAGGAATGCATTCCTGGTTTTCTATACTCCTTCTACACATGAGACCTATGACACCAGGCTCAGCATGGGGATGAGGAGATAGGACCCCACTTCAGCCAGTGATGCCAATCCTGATAATTCCTTCCTTCCCCTCTGGCCTCCCTAACCCCAGAGGCATCTTGAGATCATCTGAGTGCTGGGAGGAGAGGGGACTCTAAGTATGATACTCTAGCTACAGGCTAGCTAGCACACAACAGCATACAACTGCTACCTCTTAAGTCCAGGTAACACATTTCTGTTAATGTGCTAAATTAAGAGCAAACTGGCTTTTCTGGATGGCCATTCCACAAAGTCAATTGTAATGAACTAGCTAAAACCTAAAGGTCTTTTGTTTCTCCAAAGACACTTCTGCTTTTTCCCCCCACTTGTGAAGCTCACTTTTTGGAACAAAGTAGAAAATCTTACATTTATATCTATTAAGTTTCATTTTGGTTTATGTAAATCAAAATTGTATTTATCTCTGGTGGAGCTTGGAAGGAGAAAGGACAGTAATTTTCTTAGATTGGAAGGCACATGTGTATACATATTTTTATTTTACACCAAATATTACATGAAATTTTCAGTAAATTACAAAAAATTTTTACCTTGTTAGACTGAGCCCACCAGATCAAGAAACTTTTAAATCCTCAATCTGTTACCTCACTTCTATTTTTAAGGTTAGGACATCATAGCATAAAATCCGATGTACTTAATTATTGCTACCTGAAAAGATTAATCTGTTCCTAACTTTGGTCAATATATGAAGCCTACTAACAACAATCAATTGCTCTGTAACCTGTGTAAAGAAATGACGTATTTATAAGGTGGGAAATGGAGCCTAGCCCAGAAAACCCAAAGAATATGAATTTACTTGTGGGTCTACAGCAAGGGCTGGCAAACTACAGCCCATGGGCCAGATTCTGTGCTCATAAAAAAGGTTTACTGAAATACAGATACTCATTCATTTTTATATTGTCTATGTCTGCTTTCATGCCACAAGGGCAGAGTTGAGTAGTTTTGACAGAGACCTTATGACCTGCAAAGTCTAAAATATTTACTATACGGCCCCGTACAGAAAAAAAGTTGTCTGAACCCTGGTCTAAGGCACCATCCAGAGGAGAAAGTAAACTTTCTAGTGTACTTGACAGGTATAGTCTTACAGGAACCTGGGTTCCTCAGACTATCACAGCTTGCTAATCATTAGTCTTACCTACCTAACCCCTATTACTCTAATTTCACACTTACAGAAAGAAATCTGATCTTGCCTACAGGGAGAAGACATACTGACCAGCCAGTGTGACCATTCCTACCAAGTAATGATTCCCCTTTTCACTGTGAATTAAACAACTGACTTTGTGATTTATACTTTAGTCTCTCATGAAGTAGATTGACATGGGTCAGTCCTTTGGAGACCATCACCTCTAATATACCAAAAAACAAAAGTCAAGTTTCTAGACCTGCAAAGCTAAGCACCAGCTCCTGAAATACGGAGATTCCTCTAGGGTATCCATCCTATGAAGCAGACTCCCTCAGAGATCTCTCTGTGACATGTCACTCCACCCTATTCATGATACGACCAAAACTTAAGGAATGAGTATCCATCATTTCTTAAAATCAAATGCAGAAATATCACATGACTATCACAGAGACTCAACATTCCACATATGATGGCTGCTTCAGAGAAGTGACATTTTTTCTTTAGGTAAGCACTTCCTCCTCTCTTCAAGTGTCTGCTGTGACACAAATGTTTTTAAAAATTATCAAAAGAAAGTTAACATCAAAATCAACATTTTGGAAGTGTTTCCAGAACAAATCATAAGCTACCTGTCAGCATCTGTCCTTTATTATGTGAAGTATTATTCTGGAAAGCTGTCATTAAAACTCAACTCTTCTGAATTTAGATGTCATGTCTTACCTGACTTGGGCTGATCTTTTCTTCAGCAGCTGTGGAATGTTGATGTGGGTCTTCCTTTGCTCCCTCACAGGGGTCTCTTATAATTTCCGCCTGGTCCCCTTGATTTCTGAAGACCTTTAGCTCCATGCTCTTGGTTTTCTCTTCCCTATCCAAGATCCCAGAAGCCACAGAACCTCCTGCTGTGGTGTCCACCAGCCCACACCGCCCAGGCTCACCCCCATGATCCAAGGTGCCAGAAGTTTCTTCACAACAACTTTCTGCACAAGTCCTCTGCAGCTCCAAGGGCACTGCCCTACTCTGACTTATAAGAGAGCTTGAGGCTGCGGGTTTTACATCTGGAATCACACTTGGCTCAGGGTCAGCATGAAGCTCTTTGGAGACACTCACTGGGAGTTCAGAGTATAATTCCTGTACCACGGCAGACATGGAGGAATCAAGTGGAACTGGCTGAGTCTCTACTCCGGATGACAGCATTAGGGCAGATGGAAGATTATGGAGTCAAGTCTTTTACATCAAACGGTTCACCCTGACACAAATCAAAGGAAGGGATAAAAGTTTAAAACCTTGCAGGGTAGAAGAAAGTTGTTTCAGCTAAAACTGGCTAAAATAAGGACAAAAAAAATTCTACCTCAAATGCTGGCGACATCTGACACCAAAACATCCTCCTTAAAGGCTGTGAATTAGTAGAAAAATAAATGCCTTAAATCTTTAATAGACATCTACCTAGCCTCAATTCAAATACTGCCTTATAAACAATTCTCAGTGTAAATCTGGAGGGCCAGTGAATGTAGATGAGAATAAGACATGTCTAAGCATCCAAGGACAGACCTCATGTAAAGAAGATAAAGACGATCTTCTACTTGTTTTCAGGGTATGAACCTTGCCTGTTTTGTTCATTGCTATATCCCCACTGCCTGGAAGAGGTGCTTGGCACACAGAAGGTACTCAGTAAATATTTGCTGAATGAATATATACTGCAGGATTCTGAGCAATTTGGTATACTGACTTTTCCTCAAAAGAATTGTGTATGAAAGAAGATATGGAGACAACAGAATTCCATTCCTTTACTGCTTACCAAACTTGAGCTGATCTACCCAGACTGGCACAAGATACCACTAAACCAGCTCTTTAGAAGAATCCTGACTTTTATTCAGCATCTTGAGATTTTCCATGTGCTTTCACAAACACCACTTAGATTCTCCCAACCCTGTGAGCAAAGTCGAGCAGCTATCACCATCCTGTTACAGAGCCTAACACCACACTTATAAGGTAAAAGTGACCTGCCTAAAATATTACAGGATTATCTGAGGAAAGTGGGGGATGCTCAAGGGACTTCCATGGTGTTGGGAATGTTTCACTTCTTGCACTGGGTAGTCGAAACATGGGTTATTTGCTAAAATATGTATATTTGTGTAGTACATCATTAAAGTTGTCGACACACATGTGCATGCAGGTGTACACACACACATGCATGCAGACACACACACACACACACACACACACACACACACACACACACACACACACAGCTAAGGAACAGTACACTTGGAACCAGGGTTTCCTGGCTAGTAACTTTTCCATTTTAGTTTACCAAATGTGTGCAGTTTCCACAACAAAACCCACTTTGACCCAACCAAGGTGGAAACTGGTTAACCAAGTAAGATACCACATGCTCTCATTTTTGATGCTCTCCTTAATCCTAACAAAAGGTGAGAAATTTCTAGCAAGAGCTCAGAACAAGGATTTATCTGAGGTATTGGTGGCAAATCCCTTTGGCTAAAAGGCCCATAAGAAATGATATTTCAGAAAGACAACAGATTTCTACTCCTACCACTTTCTAACATCCATCTTTTCCCAAAATACACATATTACATACAAGCAAAACTCACTGCAGGCTACCAGACTGTTTTGAATATCGAACTGTCTCACCTTCTCTCTACGGACCACATTCAGATTTCTGAGCAGGAGGAACTCTCCTATACACCATGTAAATCTTTACAACTCAGTTTCCTTACCCTGTCTCTATTCCTGTCCTGATTTTCCAGGGGAGCCCACACATGTCGCTTACACAAAAGGCACTTGCTCTGCCTCCAGGTCAAGAAGCACCTACCTGGTGGTCCTTGAATATTCCTAGGTATATATAACCCTCCCTCCTTGCACAGAAGGTCCCTCCTGCCCACTGACCCGTGTGCTATGAAGACTGAAGCTGGGGGCTTAGGTAGGGCAGATGATAGGTCCTTCCATTTTGGACCATTTTGTCTTTCCTGGTTTTCCAATCTATGTTCGATAGTTTACTTACATTCCTACACTTTCATGCACTGGGTGTCCTTAATGTTTTGAAGGAATCCTCTCCACAAATCAAAGTAGACAACATTATACTACTAATTTAAATACTAGAAATTACAGGAAATCAGACTGCTGGTCCATCAAGTTTAGATAACACAGGAGGGCTGATGAAAAAACTTGAATCCAAAAAGGCAGCAAAGAGAGATAAACAGTTGTGTCCAGAGTATGGTGAGAATCAAATGAGACTCTTTCATAAATGGTACTGACAAAAACAAATCATTTTTGGACCTCCAACCTTCCCCTTTCTCTTCTAGCTCCTGGATATTTCTAGGGGCACTTAAAAAATTTTTTTTTTCAACATTTACTTTTTTTTTTTTTTTGAGAGACAGAGAGAGACCAGAGCATGAGCAGGGGAGGGGCAGAGAGGGAGTCACAGAATCCAAAGCAGGCTCCAGGCTCTGAGCTGTCAGCATAGAGCCTGACGCAGGGCTCGAACTCACAGACCACGAGATCATGACCTGAGCCAAAGTCGGATGTTCAACCGACTGAGTCACCCAGGCACCCCTCTAGGGGCACTTTAGATTCTGGTGTATGTATTGGGGGTTAACAGCTAAAGCAGAATTGCTATTTGATGCTAAAAAAAGAGAGGAGGTGTTCAGTTTTCATTTGGTTCAGTTTCTCTTTCCCAACAACAAACACTCCGGGTTTTGACTGTCACAACACATACAGACTGGAAGAATAAGTGTAGGAAAGGATACTGTAAAAGAGCAGGTTTGTTGGTGGAGATCAGCTCCATAGATCTCTCTGCTACCATGTGCTCAAGAGCTCCTTGCCCTTGCCTGCCACTGAGGTGTGAGTGTTCTCAAAAGTTTAATCCTTGACATGCCTCCCATTCCAGGCTTCACTTTTTTGATGACCTCACCTTTTCTTGCAGCCCTTCTGCTATGCCGATGACTCAAAACTGTCACTTTAAGTATAGGTGACCACATGACCCAACAATTCCACTCCTAGGTATACATGCAAAAAAAAGTCCACACAAAAACTAGCACACAAATGTTCACAGCAGCACTATTCACAATAGCCAAAAAGTGGAAATAGCTTTCACGTCCATCAACTGATGAATGGATAAACAAAATGTGGTAAATCTGTACACCTCGGTATTACTCGGCCATAAAAAGAAATGGAAGTACTGATTTGTGATACAACATGGATGAACCTTGAAAACATTATGATAAGTAAAAGAATCCAGCCACAAAGTATATTACAAGATCCCATATATATGAAATGTCCAAAGTAGGCAAATCTATGGAGTTGGAAAGTAAATTGCTTAGTGAGAGTTGGAAAAACTGGGAGTGACTGCTAATAAAATTTCTTTCAGGGGCAATAAAAATATTCTGAAATTGATTGTAGTGATAGTTACACACCTCTGTGACTATGCTAAAAACCACTAAACTGTACAATTTAAGTTAGTGAATTGTATGATATGCAAATTACATCTAAAAGCTAATTTAAACAAAAAATAAATAAAAATACCTGTCCCCAACCCCATCATCTCTCAAATTCCTAACCTATGTTTCATTTATAAGGATGGCACCCCTCTAGGGGTACCAGAGTGGCTCAGTGGGTTAAATGTCCAACTTTGGCTCATGATTTCAGTTTGTGAGTTCGAGCCCTGCATAAGGCTCTGTGCTGACAGGGCCTGGAGCCTGCTTCAGATTCTGTGTCTCCCTCTCTTTCTGCTCCTCCCCTGCTCATGCTCTCTCTCTCTCTTAAAAATAAACATTTTAAAAGAATTAAAAAAAAAAAAAAAGGGATGGCAACCCTCCCAAACTTAACATGTCCAAGATAGAACCCATTCAACCCAGTGAATAATCGAGTCTTACTACACACAAACAGCTACGAGAAACAAAGATGAATAAAATGTTCTCAGTAAACTTACATGCTTATTTTTTACACTGTTGCCTTTCTCAGTAATAACACCCCCACTATCCTAGAGCTCACACTTGAACCACCAGACACAACTATATCTGACCTTCCACTTTTGTTCAATTAGCACTTGGAGCCCACAGACTCCACTCCTGCAGTGTCTCCAACAAATAACCACTCCTTTCCATACCCATGGTCCTAATTAAAGACGCACAAATACACACTTACTAATAAACACAGTGTATCATGAAGAGGCAATATTGATAATCACACAGAATGCTCCAAGATATTCTTCAAGGAAAACAATGCTATTATGTTTCCTATGCATGCATCTATACTGTAAACTGGCTTTGGCCAAAACAGAATTTTAAAGCTTTGGTTCCCCCCCACCCCCCTCCAAAAAACCTTCCAATTTACAAAAGCCAAACACCACAATGCCATCATCACTTGAAACTTCTGTTTGGTAGAGATATTATTCTAAAAATTTTCAACCTGTAAAACAACTAAGCACATTGGCTGTTTTACAGGCATTTACAGACTTTCTTTCTTTTTCTCCTAGGCCCATCCTGGGTCCTTGAGTTTCTGAGCAGTATCTGCAGTTGAGACACCCAGAAGAGGTGAGTGCCTTGGCTGGAACTCTCAAAGTTGAAGTAATATTTTGATGCAAGCCTAGAGTAGCAGATTAAAATTATTCTCAGCTCACTAGCTTGCATCATCAAACTCTCATTCTAGCCATTTATCAAAATACTGGTAATGTCACAAGACTGCAGAAACAGAAGGACATATTTTAAGAAGACATTCATGTTTTTTAAAATTAAATTTCTAAATACATTGAAACAATTAAAAATGATGGCGTAGAAAATTAACTCTACACAGAAAGTTGCCTGGGACAGTTTATCAAACTAAACATTAGAATTCTCTTATTTTGATAAAATATGCACATAGGAAAACTGAAAGAATATAATCCAAATGTTAACAGTATTACCCTGGGTGACGAGATCAAACTGACTTAAATGTACTTTTTTTTTTTAACGGTAAGTTAAAAAAAATTTTTAGGGGTGCCTAGGTGGCTCAGTCAGTTAAGCGTCCGATTTCGGTCCAGGTCATGAGCTCACCGTTCCTGGGTTCAAGCCCTTAGTGGGGCTCTATGCTGACAGCTCAGAACCTGGAGCCTGCTTCAGATTCTTTGTCTCCCGCTTTCTCTGCCCCTCCCCTGCTCATGCTCTGTCTCTCCCACTCTCTCAAAAACTAACTAAATAAAT